CGCTCCATTCTGAAGCTGCTACATAATGTTCTCAATCGGATAACTGGCTTCTTAGGGACACTAGCTCTAGCTACGCAAGATGACCTTTGATCAGCGTTTCAGAGACGTTGTAATCCTCTGTGGACGACCTGGTTCTGGCAAAGTGTAATTATATAGGTTGTAGGGAAAGTTCTCGCGGTTTTTGACACATATCATTACCTTAATTTTTTATCAACAAGAAAACATATTAGGAAACAAAGTAATCACCATCACGTTCTATCACTCTTCGCCATTTTTCGGGCAGACTTTTGATGCCTTCGGCAAAGAACTTTTCTGGCTTCGATTCAAAAAAGTTGCTCAACCAGCGATCTATATCATGTTCGTCATCGAACGTTTTTCCTTGCATGGCGTTGGACAGCGACAGGAAAAGGTGGTAGTCTGTCGGAGCAAGGTCCGGGCTGTACGGCGGGTGAGGCAACACCTCCCACCCAAAGTCGAGTAGCTTCTGGCGAGACACTCTTGCAGTGTGTGGGCGAGCGTTGTCGTGCAAGAATCGGATCGTACCACTATTTGGACGCTTTTCTGCGATTTTGGCGGCCAGTCTATCCAGTTGCTCACAGTAGAGGTCTGCCGTAAGGGTAGCGTTGCGTGGGAGAAGCTCATAGTGGATGATACCTTTCCAGTCCCACCAAACACAGATCATAACCTTCAAGGGTGAAGACCTGCCTTTGGCTGCGGCTCAGGTTGCTCATCCTTGTCAACCCAGTGTCGGCGGCGCTTGATATTGACGTACAGGCACCACTTCTCATCTCCTGTAACGATGGACTCCAACCAGTCATCCGTGCGCCTGTACGAGAGCAGCTGAGTAGCCACCTCGGCACGTCGCTGACGATCGCCTTCACTCAGGTGGTGAGGTACCCACTGTGGCAGCTTGTGTACTTTGCCCAGCCGTTGCAGATGATCGGCGACGGTAGTAAAGTGGACATTCAGGACTTGCGCTAATTCACGCGTAGTCTGCCGCGGGTCCGCCTCCACCAACTGGCGCAAGCGACCAGTGTCGACTTCGGGTCTACGCCCCGATCGTGCAGAATCTTCTAGGCTGAAGTCTCCTTCACGGAAGCGTTTGAACCAATCCTGTGCAGTGCGTTCGGACACTGTGCCCTCTCCAAATGCAGCGTTGATGCGGCGACTGGATGAGGCTGCTGATTCGCCATATTTGAAGTCATAAAAAAAAAAAAAAAAAAAAAAAAAAAAAAAAAAAAAAAAAAAAAAAAAAAAAAAAAAAAAAAAAAAAAAAAAAAAAAAAAAAAAAAAAAAAAAGAACACTGCTTCGAGCTCCATTTTGCAGAAATGACGTATGCTCGAGCTTGCAGCTCATGATGACAGGTAACTTGCACAGACGTGTCCTCCTCATATATGCACAAGTCAAGTTGCTGGAAGGCACTGTACAGGTAAAAAAGGCGTGCTTCGAAAAACCGCGAGAACTTTCCCTACAACCTAATATTTGCGAAGCGAGATAGTGCAGTGGCAGCGGCCCGGCCCACGATCCAGAGGTCGTGAGTTCAATTTTTGACGAGGTTCTGACTTGGTGTTTTCATTGAGAAGGTGTTTGAAGCGGACTTTTATCCGTGCTAAGTCATCAAACGTTGCCCCATCACAAGGGGACCGAACTGGCGAAAGAATCTTTAAAAACACTATGCGCATTACAAAAAAACTACCTCCATGTCCGCCTTTCTTGAAACCTGGGCATTTTGATCTTGAACAGTTGTTATTCTTTGTGTGCCACACAGGTTTTGTACGGTCGAATCTTTATTGAGACTGACGTTTCGACTAACTCGTCGTTCTCAAAGTCCTGAAAGCGTTTTGAAACACTCAAATGTTACCTATCCGCTCATTATTATCTACATTTGACCAAGCATTACGCAGGCTAATGAACTAACGACAGGAAAACTCCAAGAATGGGTCACCTACGGGGGGGGGGTGTTTGTGGATGGCTGGCGGAGTTGAGGGTAGATAATAGAAATGAATGCATCTCCATAACTACCGACTTCTTACCCTATATCCCTCTCTGTGGACTATGATAATGAGAACGTCGTGCACTGCACGTACACTCTTTATAAGCAGTGCATGGCTGGTTGTCTCATTTATTCTACTGTCTCTGGAAGGCATCGAGGGAGGCTGTTGAACGAAGAGCGGTGGTACTGGCGGAGTTGAGGTAGGTGACCCATTCTTGGAGTTTTCCTGTCGTTAGTTCATTAGCCTGCGTAATGCTTGGTCAAAGGTAGATAATAATGAGCGGATAGGTAACATTTGAGTGTTTCAAAACGCTTCCAGGACTTTGAGAACGACGAGTTAGTCGAAACGTCAGTCTCAATAAAGATTCGACCGTACAAAACCTGTGTGGCACACAAAGAATAACAAGCTATGACGCTAATTGTGCAAAATGGCGCCCTTACAAGGGAGGTCTTTCAGGGCAAGGCGCTTTTTCAAAACGGTTTTGTGCATATTGTAGGGACGCATGTAGGGAACACAAAACCATGTTTCATTTTCGCTGAACGGTTATAGCAGTACCAAAAAAGCATAAGGTACTGTTAAGGTTCGATCCCCGTGGGCGACTAATTTTGCATTTGGGTTGGCGCCTATGGTTTGGTGCCAAATCGCGCTAAATATCAAAATCATATGTCAGGCTCGCAGTCGGACCATTGTTGAACATTAGTGGCTTTCAACCTTTGATTGCAAATTTGTCGCCGCAGGGTTATCGAACCTCAAGGTATCATTTCAAACTTTTTTATGCTACTAAAACCGTTCAGGAACAAAAACATAGGTTCCATCGGTTCCATACATGGTCATACACGCGTCCCTACAATATAGCAATGACGTGTTCCAGAATAAGCGCGGCTGGCCCTGGAGACCCCTTTTAAGCACTCACAGCCGCATATGTTATGCATTTCGTGGTCGAACGCGAGGTGATATTCGTTTTACAGCGTCGTCAAGTACTCTTCTAAGAACACTTAGCCCAAATCTAAAATTTTGACTTAACGTTGAAAATGCGGGCAGTTATCGTATCCATCAACCCATTGTCAAGGCCCAATCATGGGATGGAACTAAACTTTCATCTTTGTTGTGGAAGATATCTACGTGTCTGCCTTACTTTGGCTTGCGTCATTCCAAGGATTTATTATGGTATTTGTCTTTAAGTACTGCGCGTTGCGTTGTTGTAGTAGAACAAGCACGCAGGGTAGTGGCAGGTAGATATCTCACGATGTTGTACCGGGTTCCGGAATTGGGCCATTGTGAGCTTCCTGAAGTAAGCATCAAAGATAGGTTCGGCATTTAGCAGCATTCTCCGTTTTGTCAGCGCATTGATCGATGGATGCTCACTTCCGTTGGCGTAGAAATCATCGCGACGGTGTGGTCGGAAAATACGACAAAGTGTGGGAAGGAGGATGCAAACTTATGGATACCGTGACATCAGCTTTGAGCAGGAGAATTTCACATGATAATTTTTGCGCACTCAAAAAAATGTAGAGCAAAAAGGTTCCAGGCCAGCAGTTTCCATCCAGGCTCTCGCCATGTAAGTCGCAAAACTACCCTTCGCCAAGGCAGCATCGGACATTTGCGTCGGCGCCGAGTCTTCTTATGTGTTTCATTCGAAACAACCTCCGTAACACTTTTCAGAGAATCGTTTCGCAAATTTGGAGAGTGGATTCGAGATCAGCGTCCGAAAACACATCTCTGAGTATAGGTTTCATTACGGATGGCCACTTCGACTTGGTATCCTTCCCTTGTGAGAGGGTATCGACATGGCTTTGAATTACAAACCACATCTTTGTTTGAGGAGAATTCCGCGACAGGGTCGGAGGTGGAGGAAAAAAGAATTCACTCAGTGGCAAAACAGGATGCTCCCTAAGGGTGGGTGCGAGCTTTTGCGCGTACTCCACCGAAGAGTGCTTCTCTAGCGTGTCCGCGCCGTCGCGCCGCTACACGCCAACCCGTATTATTACTCTAGCGCTCTAGCAAACAGAGCCTTAGTGTTGATGAGTCAAGTAGAGGGAGAGTATATAGTTTCGAGTGGGGAAAGTTAGCGGCACTTTTCTTTCACTGTTTTAGGGGATACTTTGTAATCTGAAGCCACTTTTCCCGGTTTTTCTTCGTTCGGGGCCGTCACTGACAGCCTCACATTTATTTCGTTTAATGCGACGGCAGGAGCCGGAACAATGTTCTCGTAATAATGAACTGGGCTTATTTAGCCAACCCACAGGTCGTCACCGAACCATCTCTGCCTTTGCAAAAAGATACACCATATTCACATCAATTCAAAGTTGTAGGCATTTACCCAAGGTACAGGAATTAGATAAGAATCGAGTAGACTAAGGAAAAGCCTTCAGCTGAGAGAAACTCACGCGACCAGATGACAGCTTTATAGAACGGGTGAGGTTTTTGTTGTAGGTCCACCTAACGATGAAGAAAGTGCCTGTTGATACTTCGCCACTCCCTTCTGAAAATAAATCCGTGCTACTGTACCAAGGAAACATTCATATTTTCATAAAATTAGTCGCGAGTATATAATATGACGGAATGTACTGTAGATAAAGGCACATTAACATGAGAGAGGGTTGATTAACTTTTGCGTGAGGGCTCAGAGGTTCGCGGATAATTGTTTGTCGCTGCTTTTGTATTGCGCGGTTGACATTCCGCAACACAACGGGGTCTAGAAATGATTGTTTGCGTCCGCATATCTTTATGCTGGTATCGACTGCTCTATCTCCTCGCGATTGTTGTACCACTTTCGCATTAACCGTAATGTAGGAGGATTCAGTATTTTTGTGGTCTTTTCTCACGTTTTTTTCACAGGTGGTAGCCATCGCTCAACCGCGGTTTCACTTGAAAAAAGACTACATTTTGTGTGGAATGTGCCTTCAGCACACCAGAGAATATAATATTCCACAAAATGAGAAGACGTGATGAGCACTCACCGATGTATTTCCCCCTGATGGCGCAATATGTGCGGGTGCATCTTTGAATGGCTGAAAAGAGAAGCAGCGTTGTGAGGAGTGATCAGTATTTCTTAGGTTGCACCGTCGCAGTTCGCTGCCGTCGGAGAACTTTTTTCTACCCTACTCATTCTTCAGTTTTGGTCATCATACATAACACTCCGGTAGCAAATTGAGTAAAGTTAAGTCTGGGACGACGAACTTGAACGCTATCAGACATTGTAATGAATACCTTGTTACCAACGTCTGGTATTTTTTCTGGTGCATGGTCCAGGTAGTCATTTTTGTCGTCTTCTGCTTTCGAGACCTTCAAATATGTATTAAAAGTCAAACTCGATTTCATTGGAAGCTGTGTTCTTAACGGTTTCCGTTTTCGTTGAGATCAGAGGGTCAAGAAATTTCTCTAAAGGATGCGTAGCATTAGCTACCCTGGGTAGGGGTTAGTATCCTCCCTTTCAAAAAGCGAGAAGGCGTCGGGTGCAGACCATACACCACAAGTGACGACGGCCTCCACAAAATGTAAATGTTTTCTGCCAATGAAATGATTAGCCTGTTGCAGTTGTATTCTATCAGTTGTCACTAATTACAACTATCATTTACCAAAAATCAGCTATGAACACTACTAACCAGATTTACTTGGAGGCCGTCGTCACTTGTGGTGTATGGTCTGCACCCGACAATTTCTCGCTTTTTGAAGGGAGGGTACGTGTACGGAACTTCGCCCAAACTTGTGTGCGATGGGCTCCACTCTGCTTCATAAGTTACCAAAAACCGGGATATAGTGCTCGGTATGCGAGAGGGGTGGATTCGAACCTGCCCACCTGGGTTCATGTTTGGCCCATAACCCATTCATAGTGTGGAAACATTCGCATTGCGAACTGCGGCGGAGAATAGGCGGTAACAAAGCAAAACAAATTGAGAACTATGTTGAGCTATTCTTTCAGCTAAAAGTCACCTCATCGACCACGTACTCCTCGTCCCCAGTAGCGCTATGAACATGGCCTAGTTTTGCTTTCTCAGCCTTGTTTTTCTCTTCCTGCTCTTTATTCTCGTATTATCATCTCGATGCCTGAAATCACAAAACTTTGCGCTTTATGATAAAATCATCGACTGTGATGATATCGAGAACATGCATGCCGGGAATACAAGTCGTAATCGAGAGCTCATAGAGAGGCATCAGTGACTCTTTAGGAAAATTGAACTTTGAATATCGCACTTTATTGACCTAATGGTCTTGAAAAACTCCAAAATGCACTTACTCATTTGGGTATTTTCCGACTGTAGAGTGCACACTTGAGAGGAGTGGACGCGAAAAAAACGTTACAGAAAGAAGTAGGGCCATAGGGCACCACGCAGAGCTTCTCGCAAGTCGGACTAAATTAGATGTGATGACTTTACTCCGGACTAGTTGACTTTTTTCATTCTGAGACCCTGTCGACACTCCAAAAGGTCGTGCGAGTGTAGCGGTTATCCAAAAAGCTTAGAGTGAGACCTAGTGGCCTTAGATAATCAAGTACTCTGGGCCGGGGAACTTATGTACAGTTAACGCGTGGAACGTGTCAGTGTCGCTTATGCTTATGGGAAATTCACTAATTGGGAAAATATCCCCATCACCAGAAAAAACTCAATTATCCTTCGGCCTGCGCTAATTTGCAAGTACTGCATGCCTACAGATTGCTCATGTGACTTATTATAAACCGCTTATCATTTTCATATACCTTCATAACTTATAGCAGTCTTCAAAATCAGTCAATGTTTCTCTACATCTAAGTGAGCGTGGGACATTTAGGACAGACAGCAGAAGAATAAAGATACTGTGGATAGTGGGTCCGGGCAGAATGTGCAGAACAGATAGCACTTTATGATTTTTTTTTCTTTTAGCGCGCAGGGGCGCTATATGATGCTTAAGCTATTGCTGGCCTTCGCCAAAAGGATGGACGAAAGGCGGGGTTACATGGTATAGAATAGAAAGCAAAATTCTCTCAAAAAGCCCTCAGATCCTTCAAATTTTCTAACATTCTCTCATTACTTGATCTAGATGTCCAGTCTTTTGCCATATTAATAAAAATCTAATCCATTCGTTCCAATCATCGGCCACCGATCCCACCCACTACGATCCTCATCGCAGTAAATACGACGCGCACCGAAGATTTCTAGACAGCGACGTGTTTCGCTAGACGGTACGGTCGCCGGGTATTATTGAGGAAAACAATGAAGAACCGGAAGAATGAAGCAGAAAAGATGTCGTAGGTCTTCACTTTGTGGATTTTCATTTTTCTTTTTACCGTTAGGAGAGGAGTGATCCACAAACTTCAGCTTGTTGATGATCCTTCACCCACAGGTAAGCGGGAGATCATGAATTATCTTTGTGCTGCTTTTGAAGCGAACTTTTACAGAGAAGGCTGAAAGCGCGGAGGCACCTCAAACAAAAGCGACAAGCTGTTTAAATGTGATCGTCTTCTTATAAAAAGTTTTGCGAAGAATTTTTGAAAAGTTCTCAGATCTCTCGAAGTTAACATATAATCAAAAGGTATCATACATTGTTTCATAGTTGCGGAACATTTGCGAAGATCTTGGGTACGGGCCGTGCTTTTCTTTGGGTTTCATCCCGATTCTGAAATACCAGCTCTGGTTCATGAAATTCTACGGAAGGCGCTGCGCACTCTACCTTCGACCGCAGTCAACCACCCCACCTCTACCTTCGACCGCACCAACCACGATTCACTATCACCTCTTCCGTTTCCACCATCAGTGTTTGCAAGAGGAGGCACAGCTTCGAAGATAGACTTCAAGATGCTTTCTCGGCAGGCGAGAATTGGCACAGGAGGATGTCACGAATGCATTGGTAGCAAAGTTCGGGAATGAATATTGGGTGATCATACCGTCTCTATCTCGGCTAACGAGTAGTCGCGGCCCGATGGATCCCCTATCCTTGACTGTTAGCATGAAATGCTACAATTCTATGATCACATCAAAAACGTTTTCTGGAATGCCTAAAATATTGAAAAAGAAGGCTACTGTAGATGAGAGTTACCTTCATATGTCGCCAACTAACGTCCTACCATATAGCTTCCTAGATCTGAGGGCTCTTCTATATAAGCGAAGTCGGAACCAACCCTACAGGGTCCGCAAAGCTGCCTCCAGACTCGAGAGGAATGCTGCGCTATACGCGAGAAAGTCACACCATCAAGGGGATTTATCGGGAAGTCCTTTAGGGTCGTGCCCCGCTTTTGAAAAACGGTTTTTCTCACGATGTGGGGGCACATGCATGAAACAGTGCTGTGATTTATTTTTCCTCAGCGGCACTCGGAATACCAGAAAATGGGTTAAAAAAAACTTAACGCCCCGCTCTTTTGAGATAATTTTCTTAGAAAATTTTCTCGTACAGGTTACTGATGCTCCTGTT